CTCTAAGAGCTAGAGGAAGGAAATTTCATTTCAAACAGCATTTCAAAGGAAATGTGATACCCTGAAAACCAGTTTGGACGTGGGAATAGTTTTTAGTCACAATACAGTTTAGAAGAAAAAAATGCAAACGCCTGTATTGAATGCTAAATTGCAGGTATTCTACATGGAGCCTGCGTGTCAGGGAGCCTGAGCCTTCCCACCAGTGCTGCATTCCATGGCAGCAGTGGGGCAATCTGACAAACTGGCACCTGGCATGGAAGTGTGTGTGGAGCAAAGGTGTGGAACTGAGCTCCTTCATGTAGAAAAAATGGCACCACTGACCTTCACTGATGTCTACTGAGACAAACAGCAGATGTCAGCTTTGGCATCACATAGTAGCAGCATGAAGTATACTGTGAAGAGCTGCAACCTTGTAATAAAGAACAGCTAGCAAGGATTGCAGCCTTTCAAGACCTAAAGGGAGCCTACAAACAGGAGGGGAATCAGCTCTTTGAAAGGGGAGATACCTGCAGAACTGAAATCCTTCTGGCCCAGCTGGACCACCCAGGCTAGCCGGCCTGCCAGTGCCTTTTGACCAGCCTGCCAGCTTTTGGCATGGCAGAACCCCTTCGGCTGGCTGGGAGGGGTCTGGAAACGCAGAGCTTCATGGGCCAGCTGGCTGGCCACCTTTCGCCTGGCAGTGCTTCCCTGAACAGCCAGCCGGCTTTCAACCTGGCCTAACAGGCTTTGTAAGGGTTCCCCAGCCAGTCAGCCAGCTTGACCGAAGATTCGGGATCTCCCACAAGGGCTGGGTGCAGCCGGTCCACGGAGCCCCAAGGCAGACCATCCAGGCTGCCACATCAGGTGGTGGATCACTAAACCTCTCAGGCAGACGGCAAAGAAGATCAGGCCTAGCAGGGCTCCTCCCCCCCTCCCCCTCCCCCAGCCAACATGCCTGTTGAGGCCTGGCAGGATCCCCCTGGGAGGGGAGGGGAGGGGAGGGGAGGGGAGGGGAGGGGAGGGGAGGGGAGGGGAGGGGAGGGGAGGGGAGGGGAGGGGAAGGGAGGGGAGGGGAGGGGAGGGGAGGGGTGGGGAGGGGAGGGGAGGGGAGGGGAGGGGAGGGGAGGGGAGGGGAGGGGAGGGGAGGGGAGGGGAGGGGAGGGGAGAAAGGAAGCCAGAAAGGAAGGGAAAGAAAAGGGACCAGGGGAGACGACACACAGAATCATAGAATCGCAAGGTTGGAACCTGCAAGATCATCCTGTGCAACCGCCCTCCCATCACCACTGCACCACCAGCACTAAACCACATCTCGCAGCTCCTCATCCACACTCCTGTTGAACGCTGCCAGGACGGCGACTCCACCACCTCCCTGGGCAGCCGTTCCATGCCTGACTGCTGTCGAGAGAAAAAGCTTTTCCTCATTTGACCCAAACCTCCTCTGCTGCAACTTGCGGCCGTTTCCTCGGGTCCCGGTTGTCACCTGGGAGAAGAGGCTAAACCCCTCCTCACCTCAACCTCCCTTCAGGAAGCTGTGGGGTGCAGTGAGGTCTCCCCTGAGCCTGCTCTTCTCCAGGCTGAACAACCCCAGCTCCCTCAGCTGCACCATTCTTGATATTCTTGATATTTTGATCTTGGTCTTGTTGAACCTCAACAAAATCCATCTGTGCTGGGCATTCATGGTTCTCCATTGGCACTCTGGAGATCACTCCTCTTGGAATTTCTTGTGAGTCTACAACACTGGTGTTGGAAATATCCAAATAGTTTTCCAGGACGGTTTCTCTGATAAAGCAGATTTTATTTGCAATTGCAATGGCGGGCCTCCTGCAAGGTGGAGCGCACCCAGAAAACAGCCTTACATCTTCTAATCCCTACTGCCCAATGCTGATCTCTTTCTCCCCTGGTTCCTCATTGGCTGAATACTGCAGGTTCACACTCTTTTAGTTCACTTTTTTGATCAACTATTTCTAAGGATAAGTTACAGAATACAAATACACTGTGTTCTGCTTCTTCAAACCAAGTGCCCTTTTTAATATCTAATGCAGAAACAACATTCCATTCCCACACTGGTGAGCACTTTCCAATTATCTCTGATTATCTTTTTCAATGTGACAATCTTACTAGCCTAACTTATCCGTATAGTTATTGATCATCCAATACTTTACGACATCTGCATGCTTATTGGTCATACAAACTGCAATGCACTTACAGAAAGTAAGGCCTGGCACCCAGCACGTCCCGGCTGGCTGCGCCTCGGAGGTTCTCCTGGCTTCGGTTCCCAGCGCTGCGCCCTGGCGAAGAAGGATGCTATGGGGGACCATGTCAAAGGCCTTACTGAAGACCAGAGAGATGACACCAGTGACTCTTCCCCTGTCCATTGATGCAGTGACACCATCATAACAAACCACTAGTTCTCTGCTACATGGGTCAACACAGTGGACTTTAGAACTTGCACTGCATGTCCAAGATGAGTTTTTAAAGCTCTGTTGGCAGGCAATGGAAGTAGCCACTCTTCACAAGAAAATGCAGCTATTGTTTGGGTTGCTGAGATGGACCAAGGGATTACTAAAAGATGTCTTGTTGAGCAGAAGCTGGATTTTGCATTCCTTGGCAAGTTCCACAGGCAGCATGATTTAAGAAGAAGCATTTGAAATCTCCTGGAATTAAAATGTCTTAGGGAAGATCCTAGAGGTGAACTAGGAGTTCAGGTCCAGGAATCCTGCCCTCTACATGCATGATGGCTAACTGATGCTTCCATGGAAAACTTACAAGATTAATGCGAGGTGTTGGATTGAATGACATTCTGAAGAAAACAACTCCATCCCTAAAACATAGCATAGGAAGTTCTGCAAAAATGTGCATAAGAATTTCTTTACGCTGAGGGTGACGGAGCACTGGAACAGGCTGCCCAGGGAGGTGGTGGAGTCCCCTTTTCTGGAGATATTCAGAACATGCTTGGACACCTCGTTGTGCGACCTGCTGTAGGGAACTGCTTTGGCAGGGGGTTGGACTTGATGATCTCTGGGGGTCCCTTCCAACCCCTACAATTCTGTGATTCTGTGATTCTGTGAAAGTATTACTTCCTTCAACCCTCATCTGCCTGACAGCTCTACAAGGCTCACAGCTCAGCTGCACAAGCAAACAGCGCAGTCTGGTGCATCAGCTGGGAAACACACTTCATTCCAGAGCCAAACAGCTGGCAGTCCAAGTGCCTGCACCAGGAGCAGCACTGTCCTGTTAGCCCACATCCAACCCAGAAAACAAAAGACACTGTTCTACAGCCAGAACAGAAACTGAGGTTTAAACTGCAGTGTGCTCACACAAAGCAGTACTGCGCTCATTGCTGCTCACATGGCAGCAGAGGAACCCCGGTCTGCCTGACAGCTCTGCATTCTGCAGAGCAAAGCTGCATCAGCAAACAAAACGCTACTGGGTGCAAACGTCGAGACACGGATCTCTTGTCCCTAGAGGGAATGCACTCAGCTCTGAGCAGCACCACTTACACACAGACTTCTGTCTCACTGCTGCCATCAGCTGTCGCTGTTGACCTCTCTAATGCTTCCACCGTGGTTACTGGACATCGCTACAGCACTGCAGCCACTCAGAAGTAACACTCAACATTCATTCCTCCATCCTTCATGGCAGAGGACTGCGGAAACTCACTTTTGCGTGGCAGTGAGGACGGCCCGTCCCCATCGGGGGACCCCAGGGACCCCAGGGGGGTCGGCAGCTGCCAGGCGCTGCCGGATCTCTGGCAGCCTGCTGCCTGCTGCTCCCGAATGGGGGGAACCGCGCCGCGCTGCTTCTGAGGAGAGAAAGGAAGAAACGTCAGTGGGGACGGGCAGCCAAGGTTTGCAGAGAGGCTCCTGATCGTGCCAGAGGTGGGGTATCAGAGTGCTGAAATATTATTTATCACTAAGGGAAAATACGGCCTGAGCCATGCCCATGCCATTAGCCCAGGCTGTCAGAAGTGAGCACTGAACCCAACCGGTTATTCAGAAAGGACCAGTAGGTCTCCCCCTGCTCCACCCCTTCCCCCTGAGAATGAGAAAAAGGAAGAAAAACCTTGCAAACACCCTGCCATACCTTTCCCCTCATAGAGCAGGAATTGGAGCCGCGGTCGTCTCAGTGCTGAGACGTGGCAGCTGAAGTCTCAGAGGAAGCCCAAGTTCAGATGGCTCTCCCACAGGAACTTCCCCTGCTCCTGGAAAAAGCTGGCTTCACTCTTCCTAAGAGTGCCTCGATCCCCGAGTTCTCCTTTTGGACAGGAACTTTGTAGGAAGTATCAACAAGTGAAAAGTCGAGGCGGGGCCTGGCAGCAATTTACCAGGGGAGTGATGGCATTTCATCATCCTTACCAAAACATGGGATGGACTCTCAACAAGAACCCATTTCCCCCAGGCACTGCTGGAGCTGGGAACTCCTCCCCAGCCCAGCTTTCCTGCTGAGACACCCCCCGGCAACCAGCCAGCACCAAGTAAAGATCAGTATGGCCTCATCGCTGTCAATGGAGTCCCAGGGGAACTAATAGGAAGCAGTAGGGATGCCCATCTGTATGCCTCAGGGCTGGTGTTCACAGGGCTGATGCATTTCACAAGGATGCACTCATCTCCCGCATCGTGATCACTGGCAAAATTATCCAACAACACTGACCCAAGCTGGGGGCTCCGTGGTGACATACAGGGAAACCTGCTGTGCTGCAGCGTGAGCCTCCAGTCCCGCTGCTGGGCACCGCCGGGCACAGCCTGGCTCCGTCCTCTTTGCATCTCCCCGCAGGGACCGATGGCTGTGATGGGATCTTCCTGAGCCTCCTGTTCTGCAGGCTGAGCCGCCCCAGCTCTGCCAGAATCCCACGCCAAGCCTTCCCCAGGTAGTGCTGCCTGAGGAGGGCAGGGGATTTCGGAGGGGAGGGATGGGGCTGCTGGGGGCAGCGCTGGGACACGGCCCTCTGTGCTGCCCCGCAGGTGGGCACTGGGCTCTGGGGGGGTTTAGTGCTGCGTGAATGACTGCAAGCGGAGGCGTAGGAAAGTGAATATAAAACCTTTAATAATTTAATGCAGTGTAACCTAATTGAACATCGTGTCAGATAATGGAGCAGTCCAAGATGACGTCGGTGGACAGCCCAGGTTTGGAGGGGCAGCGCTGGGGCCGGTGCCGGTGCCCCTGGAGCACCGCCGCTGCTCTCTGTGCCGCAGGGGCCGGCGAGGAGCCCGGGGCTGCAGGGAGCCTCATTTGCGGGCCGTGGCCGCGCCTCAGCTGCGCCTTCTTTGCGGGCCGCTTTCCGCAGCCGCTCCCGCTGAGGCTGAGCCCGGCCGGCCTCGCCTAGCGCCGCCGTTTCTGCCGCGGAGCGTCCTGGCCCGGGGGCGGCTTCCTCTTCCCGGCCGGGACGCCGTCCTTGCGCTGCTCGCGCCCTCTGCTCCTGCCTTTCCTGGCGCTGCGGGCGGGCGCCGGGCACTCGGCCGGCTCGGTGCCACCCTGGCGGCGGCTGTCCGGCACGCGGCAGGAGGTGCAGCCGGGCGGCAGCGCCAGGCGGGCGAGAAGCACCCGGGGCTGCCTCTGCTTCGCCTCCTCCATCAGCCATGCGGTCTGGGCCGAAGGAGGCACGCGAGCGTCCAGGCGGGTCGGCAGCGCCAGGCGGCTGAGAAGCACCCGGGGCTGCCTCTGCCGCGCCTCCTCCATCAGGTGCTCGCGGAGCCGAGACTCAGAGGATGCCGGCTGCCCTGAGCACGGCTCCCCGAGGGGCCCGGCGACAGCCTGCGCCTCTCTGCTGAGCTGCCTGCCGCTCGTGGGAAGGTCGGGGGCCGCTCCGATGGCAGGAGAGGTGCTGAGGCTGCTGGGGACGGCTGGCAGTGGCGGCTGGGGGACCTCCGGGCAACTCGACGCTTCTGGAAAAGCAAAACCCCCCCAGAACGATGACGGCAGCCTTCCCACAGCCACTCGGGGCGGACATCCGCCCGCCGCCGCTGCGGCCCCTGCACTCACCAGCGATCCAGGTGAGCAGACTGTCGATGTCCTCCTTGTCCCCTGGAACGGCTGAGCTGGGGGTCCCTTCTGGAGAAGGAAGGAAATCCCCAAGGGTCAGGGCCAGCTTTCCCACAGCCCCTCGGTGCAGACATCCCCGCCTGCTCCGCAGCCCCTCAACTCACCGTTGCTGAGCCACGCCAGCACATCGTCGATCTCCGAGGTGTCGACCGGGATGCCTGCGTTGGATGTCAGTTCTGGAAAGAGCAAGAAGATCCCCACAGGGGCACTGCCAGCTTTCCCACCCCCCGTCGGCGCGGACGCCCACCCGCCCCCCTCTGCAGACCCCACACTCACCGCTGATCCACGGGAGCAGATCAGCAACGTCCTCCGCCACGTCTGCGCTCGCTGTCGCCGCTGGAAAAGCAAGAACGTCCCCAGTGAGGCGATGCCAGCCTTCCCACAGCCGCCCGGTGCGGACAGCCTGCCGCCCGCCCCGCAGCCCCCAAACTCACCACCTGAGTCCAGCGCCGCGCCGCTGCAGCCGAGCGGAGCCACGGTGGGTTGGGGGCACGCGTGGGTGGGCGCCGGGTGCCCCTGGCCCTCCGTGAGCACCACGGCATCTGCAAAGGGCCCTGGCGCCTGCTGCCAGCTGGCGGGCAGGGTGCAGGGCGCGGGGAGCCCCTGCTGCTGCGCTGGAGGTGCCGGCGGAAGGACGCGGCGATGGGGGTCCTGCAGCGGGCAGCCGCCTGCGGGCTGCGGGGGCTGCGCGTGGAACACGGCCCCAGGCCACAGCCCCATCGGCTGCGGGGGCTGCGGTGTCCCTGCCTGCAGGGGATGTCCCCAGCGGTGGGCAGGGGCCGCGGGGGGAGCCGTCCCTGGGTGCAGCCCCCAAGGTGGGAGCTGACGCACAGATGGAGGCGGCCCCCCGGGTGGGAGCTGCGCTCCCTGTCCCCGGACACGGGGCACCCCAGGCCAGACCTGAGGCACCACGGAGGTGACAGCGGGGACGTAGAGGGGTTGCGGTGTCACCAGCGCTGCTGCGTTGCCAAAGGTGGGCTGTATTGCAGCAGGCCGGTGGCGCCACAAACGATCCAAAGAAAGCGGCGTCGGGTGTCGGAAGCACCGTCAGCGTCCGTGAAGGGATTCTCTCTGTGGGGAAATGCCCAAATGGGCGCTGGGTGAGATGTGGGGCACTGGGAGCAGCCGGAGGGCCGCAGTGCCAGGAGCAGAGCAGCCTGCTGCCTTACCTGCCAAGGGAGCTCGAGAGTGGCAGCGGGGGCTTCCGTGACCGCTGAGCTCAGCCCCTCTCCCTGAGCTCACAAGAGCTCTCTGTGACACTGTCACAGCACGGCTCTGCGCCTGCCCCGTCCCCAGCACTTGCTGTGGCTGCTCGCTGTGGCCTTCCGTTGTCTCAGTGGAGATGATAAACATGGTGGAAATGAACTTTCTACGTGTCCGGGTGGCGATGGGACCAAGGGAATGGTTTTAACGTGAAGAGGGGGATTGGGATTCGAGGTCAGGGAAGTTCATCCCAGGGGGAGCTGAGGCCCTGGCACTGCTGCCCGGAGCGGCCGTGGGTGCCCCATCCCTGCGGGTGCACCCGACTCAGCTCCATTGCAGGGAATGGAGACGAAGGCAGGGACGTGGCTGATGGCACTCCGACTCCCGGTGGCATCGCAGGGCTGCGGTGCTTGCAGTGCTGAAAGCCACCAAACTCGCACTGCTGGCTGCCTCCCTTCACACATCCGCCTGTCACAAAGCACAGGGGCTGGAAGGGAGCTCTGGAGATGCCCGCAGTACAACCTGCCCCCAGAGCAGCTTCCCTGCAGCGCTTGCACAGGAGAGTCTGCCTTGAGCTGGGAGCCCAGCACTCACCCAGTGCTCCACTCGTGCCCAGTGCTTTCTGCGGCCCTCAACAGCCTCCCAGGGCCACCCATCCTGCCCTGGGCCCCCTGTCATAGAATAATAGAACCATAGAACCATAGAATCGCAAGGTTGGAACCTGCAAGATCATCCTGTGCAACCGCCCTCCCATCACCACTGCACCACCAGCACTAAACCACATCTCGCAGCTCCTCATCCACACTCCTGTTGAACGCTGCCAGGACGGCGACTCCACCACCTCCCTGGGCAGCCGTTCCATGCCTGACTGCTGTCGAGAGAAAAAGCTTTTCCTTATCTAACCTCCCAGGGCCACCCGTCCTGCCCTGGCCCCCCCCACCAACACACCCGATGCTCAGTACGTGACCATCTCCTTCCCCAGGCACAGAACGAGGCGACGCGGGGCCGCGCCAGGATCCCCCCGAGCCTCCTCTTCTGCAGGCTGAGCCGCCCCAGCCCTCCCGGAATCCCACGCCGAGCATTTCCCACTCGGCGCTGAGGAGGGGAGGGGATTCGGGGGGACGAACGGGGCCGGCGGCTGCAGTCCTACAACACGGCCGTTTGTGCCGCCCCGTCCTCACCCAGAGCCGGGCACGGGTTGGGAAATCGGAGCTGCAGAACGGATGGCAGGCAGAAGCGGTGAGCAACGAACGCTCAACGTTTAATCGTTTAACACACAGAGCGACAAACAGCGCCCGGCGGCCCCGAGGCGCGGGGCGGGCGGCGGCGGGGAAGCGGGGCGTCGCAGCGCCGCTCTTCCCGCACGGAGCCCAGCGACCGCGGCCGCCATTGACAGAGAGCCCGCGCTCCGCCCCGCCTCCCCCGTTCTCCCATTGGTCGGTCCGCCGAACGGGGCGGGCGCTCCGCGCGGGGTCCTTTCCGTGAGCGGTCGCGCCGTCATTGCGTCATCAGCGCGCGTCCCGTATGGCCCCGGCTCGGCTGCCCGCGGCGCTGCCCCGCGTCATGCGCCTGCTCCGCTTCCAGCGTCCCGGGGCGGCCGAGCCCCGGCTGGGGTTGCAGGAAAACGAGGGCGGGGATGTGGTGGATCTCAACGAGGCCGAGCCCGCGCTGCCCCGCTCCATGCGGGCCTTCCTGGAGAGCGGCGAGCACGGGCTGGCGGCTGCCCGCAGGTGCGGGTCCGGGGGTGGTAAACGGGTCCGGAGATGGGCGAGGCGCTCCGGAGGTCGGTGTGGGGGTCGCGAGGCGGACTCGCGGATCCCCGAGGTGCCTCCAGGGCGGCAGAGCGTGTATCGGAGTGTTGCGCTGTGTGCTGGGGTCCCCTGGCGGGTGCCGGGCACCGCGCTGCGGTGTTCCGGTGCCCCGAGCCGGGCGCTGAGGCCCGCAGGTGGAAGCCCGGTGCCCCCCGCGCTCAGTCCCGCCCCGCAGAGCGCTGGCCTCGGGCCAGCACCGTTTGCCCCGGGCGGGATTGCGGCTGTTGGCGCCCATCGACGACCCCGAGAAGGTGATCTGCGTGGGGCTGAACTACCGCGACCACTGCCTGGAGCAGGACGTCAAGGTGCCCAAGGAGCCGCTCATCTTCAGCAAGTTCCCCAGCGCCATCGCCGGGCCATTCGATGACATCGTGCACCCGGCCGAGAGCAGCGTGAGTGCCTGCGGGCCCTCTCCCCCTGAAGGGTACGGCCCGGCCCAGCCCCCCTGCACGCCATCTTCTCCCCCAGGAGGTGGACTGGGAGGTGGAGTTGGCTGCCATCATCGGGAAGACAGGGCGGCACATCCAGGTAACGCTTTCTCAGGGTGTGCTGGGATCCAGCCCTGCTGTGTGCCCCCATCCCGTTGGCTGAGTGGGTCCCTGTGTCTTCCCCCCGCCCACAGGAATCAGAGGCTATGGAGCACATTGTAGGCTTCACTGTGGCCAACGATGTCAGTGCCCGGGACTGGCAGATGCGAAGGAATGGGAGGCAGTGGCTGCTGGGGAAGACTTTTGACACCTTCTGTCCTATAGGGCCGGCTATCGTCACCAAGGACTCAGTGACAGGTGGGGACTGGGCAGAGAGGGGGTCTTTTTTTCCAACTCCTTAGGATGACACATCTCCTCTGCAGACGTCCACAACCTGCGCATCCGCTGCAGCGTCAACGGGCAGCTGATGCAGAACAGCAGCACCAGCCAGCTTGTCTTCAGGTTGCCCCAGCTCGTCGCCTGGGTGTCCCAGTATGTAGCACTGGGGCGGGGGGGGGCAGCATCCTGGTTCTCCAGGTGCTGGGGAGACAACCAGCTGACACCTCCTGTGCCTCCCAGGTTTGTCACGCTGCGCCCTGGGGATGTCCTGCTGACAGGAACCCCTCCTGGCGTGGGGGTTTTCAGGAAGCCCCCCGTGTTTCTCAAGGTGAGCACCGGGTGGGGTCACTACATAGGGCCGGGTGGGTCAGTGTGGCAGAAGAAGAACAGTTCCCTCTGAGGTTAGCACTTCAGCTTCATGTGTTCCCCTCCCTGTCCCTTGTCACCAACCTCCTCAGCAACCCAGATTTCCCCTTTCTGGGTTCCCGGCTCCTGCTGGAAGTAGAAAACCCTGCCACTGCTCTCCCCCTGCAACCCCCTCCCCCTCCATCCTCTCTGTCGGGATAAAGGAGCTGCCAGATGCACGGGGCTGCAGCATCTCCTGCCTTTGCAGCAAGGTGACGAGGTGCAGTGCGAGATTGAGGAACTGGGCACCATTTGCAACAAGGTGGTGTGAGGACCAACCTCCACCTCAGACCTGCCGTGCCTTGCCGCGATGGCTCTCAATAAATCCGCACCAGGAGACAGCTGCTGCACCCGACTTTATTGCTCTGCAGGGTTGGTGGCTACAGCTGCATGAACTGCTCAAGGAAGGCTCGCAGCTTCCCTTGGCCCTCGCTGGAGCTGAATGGCTGCACGAGGTGCAGAAGGGGCCCCAAAGGGCTCTGCGTCTCCTTCAGCACCTGGGGGGTTGAGGGTGTCACCGGCAAGACTGCTGATGGGGATGGGGGCAGAGCCCCCCCACCTACACTCACCCCTATGTTCTTGAAGCTCTGCAGTGTGCTCAGCACCAGGCTCCTGGAGGTGCGCATGGGGCACTCTGGAAAAACAGACATCCTCAAAGGTGCCCCCCACCCCTGTTCCACTCACAGCCCTGCTGGGGTGGGTGGACCCCCAACATCATGCCCCCGCTCACCCAAACCGTCCTCCTCTGCCAGGAACTGCTGCAGTGCACATGCACACATTGCTTCTGAAGGGAGAGCAGGATCAGCATTGGGGTGGGGAGAAAACCTCAGTGCTCCCACCCCCCCACCCCACGGCACTGCAGCCCCCTCCAGCTTCAGCGAGAAGCTGAGTTACGAGTGCAAGTGTGCCTCAGTCTCCCCCAGAGCTGAGCGTGGCTGATGTGGGAGCAGAATGGGTGGCCCAGGGTCATATGGGAGGTTCAGAGGGAGTCCTACCTGGCTGGGGCCAGCTGTGTTGTTCCAGGAAAGCCACTGCTCGCACATAGGTCGCCAGCACAGGGCTGAGGAGGTGACAGAAGAAGAGGAGGAAGCCAGGTGAGTCTTTGGGCTCGCGGATCTGGAAAGGAAAGAGCCAGATTTTCAATGAGTTTGTTAAGCCTCAGTGCGCCAAGGCATCCTAGGGCCACGGAGCAGGGAGCCCCTGCATACCCTGAAGCAGCGTTTGCGGTGGCTGTCATCGCTGTCACTGTCACTGAAGTCCAGGTCGGTCCAATGCAGAGTCCTGCCGCATCGCCACGAGGACACATCGCAGAGATAGCGCTCACCCTCCTGCAGAGCAAAGCTTTGCGCTGGCACTGCATGTCCTCATCCCCTCACCTCTACCCAGGGAAACCTCCCGATCCAGGGAGCAGTGGATTCGTGCCGCAGTCCCTTGTTCTCTTCCCAACCAGGACTGGAGGGCACCCACCTCTTCAGCCTCCAGCAGCCCGCACAGTGTGAGCTTGTCCAAGACATCCTGGCTCTGGCAGTCAAGGGGCTGGCAGGGCTGCAGGGAGAAGGGGGTGGGCAAGGAGCCGCACAGCCACCTCCGTGTGCCATGGGCAGCCCTAGTGCCACCTGCATCTACCTTCAGCCCCAGCAGGTTGGGGGGCAGCAGCTGCAGCAGCGCCAGGATCTTGCGGTGCAGCTCGTCCTCACTGAAGGTGATGCTGGAGGGGCAGGGGGCCTCCCCCACAAAGGGCAGCAGCTCCAGCAGCAGGGCACGGATGGCACAGGCTGTGGGCACAGCACGGTGAGCAGCGTCACTGCTGCCCAAAGCAGGGACCCCCAGCACCCCACTGCTCACCTCCCACCGCCTCACTGGCAAAGACGGGCACAAGTTGAGCGCTGTGGCGGCTCAGCTCCCACTGCGTCTCTGCTGAGTCCTTGACGACCACCATGACATCACCCAGGGGTGCAAGATGGTAGAGGGTGAGGTGGGCTCTGAGCAGGGCCAAGCTGTGCAGCACCAGGGCACAGAGCTGCCCCGAGAAGCTCACATCATGCTGCCGTAGCAGCGTCTCCTCCAGCAGCCACGCAAAGTCTGCCATGAGCTGTGAGAGCCGCACGCACTGCAGGAAGAGGGGGCTGAGCTGGCCAGGAGCTACAAGGGGCAGGCCGGGAAGCTTGCTCCAGCAGCAGATGAAGCTGGAACCCCAAAGGGCTCTGGCCTCACCTTGCGGTGCTTGTGCAGCAGCAGCGCCGCTGTGATCCCCACAGCTGTGATGGCAGAGCACGCAATGGCATCTGCGAGGAGCAAGAGGCACTGCTGTTTGCGGCCTGTTTCCAGCGCAGGTGCTGCCGTGCAGCAGCCACACATGGAAATGAGCAGTAATTGCAGCACGGCTGCTGTCAGTCAGAGAGGAAGTGGGGACACGCAGTCCTTTGTATTCCCATGCCCTCCCCAGAGCTGCGTACCGCTCAGGGCATGCAGGCCCAGCTTTGTCACCATCATTTCCTCTTCTGCCTCTGAGCTGGTGGTCATTCCGTGCTCCGGACCATCCGCCCTGCTGTAATCCGGCTGTCTGGAGCCATAGGAAATAGAGAGGTGGGAAACCGGGGGGCTGGGAACAGGCAGTGAGGGCAAGGCACTGCTCCCCCTGGCTTACAGCACACCGAGGATGGTGGGCAGCAGCTCCTCCAGTGGCTTCCCCATGGTGCTCCGACAGATGAGGCTTTGTGTCACAAACTCCTGGAGAGGAGCACACAGCCCATGAATGCCTGCAGCCCACAGCCGACTCATGCTTTCAGTCCCTCCAAGAGCTGCCCCACGGGCTCATGGAATCTCTGCAGATCCCCCCAAGCCCCTCTGTGCAACTCCACAAGGCTCACACAGCCCCAAGCCTTGCTGCACCATGTCCCCCGGGGACCGGGCTGGGCTCTGGGAGCCAGCTGTACCACAAGAGCCCCAACTGGACCCCACCACTGTACCTGCAAGGAGAAGGGCTGGGCCAAGTCCACACGAGCGCAGCCAAAGCACCGGCACAGGGCTTGGCACGCAGCCCAGAGGCAGGCCCCGAGGCCGAGGGGCTGAGCGCTGTGCTGGGGGGAGAGGGAAGGCAGCATTACTGGGGGGTGACAGGAGAGATGCCCCTATTCCCAGCTACGGCGCCGTGTGCAGCCTCACCGCTCCATTCGTGCAGAATCTGTCGGGCGTCTGGTCGTAGGCGATGCCCACAGGGACCAGGAGGATGTCAGGCACAGCACCATCCTGCACAGCGCGGCACAGCGGGGCCAGCCAGGCACGGGCCGCGCTGGAGAGGTGCCACAGGGCACAGGGCTCCTCCAGGAAGATCACCAGAGGCTGCTGGCTCCTCAGCACCTCCTCGACGTACTGGAGCAGAGGGGGAAAGTTGGGGCTGACAATGGCACCATAGGGGCCTGTGGGAGCTGCCACCGCCCATTGATGGGGGTTTAGCGTGGCCTGGCAGCTTTGCCCTTCTGTCTGTGAGCCCGAGATGCCCCCACTGAGTGCCTTGAGAGCTTGGGGGGGCAGGAGGGAGGTTCTTCCTCCACTGCAGGGGTTGGAACTTGATCATCTTAAACCCAACCCAACCGTTCTCTGATTCCCATCCCAGCACTGGGGGAATGCCAGGGTGAGACGTACCGAGGTCAGCACAGCTGCTGGGAGCTCTCCATCCTGACCACTCAAAGCCTGCTCCACACTCGTGGGCAGGAAAACTGCTCCCAGACAGCCAAGCAAGGCCCTGCAAGGGAAGAAAGCACCATGAGCGCCCACCCCGCACAAGGTCGTGTCCCCATTACCAACCCTGCGCCCTTCCTGCTCCCTAGCCCAGCTTGGTGTGCGCAGCTGCATCCACCCTATGTGGGGAAGCGGCCGCATGCAGCCGGATTCCCCGTGCCTTACCGCAGGCGAGGGCTGCAGGTCAAGTTGCCCACCGTCACTCTGGGCACCCCCAGGCCCTGGGAGAAGAGGAGGAAGGACAAGAGCAGCCCATCCACCTGGGACTTGTGGGTGGAGAGGAAAACCAGCGGCACGCCGGGCTGTGGGGATGGAGGATGCAGTGAGAGCTCGGCACTGCGGTGTGCCAGGAGCAGGCAGGCAGGTTCCTCACCGTCCTGGCGGCCCTCAGCACCATCTCCAGCTGCCCCCGGTGCAGCTGCACGCTGAGAAAGAGGCGGCTCAGAAAGCGAAGCAGAGCCCAGCAGCACAGCCTGCGGGGAGGAGAGGCACAGCACAGGGGTGAAAAGCCGTACGGGGCCACGGGCTGCACCCAAAGCCCTCCAAAACCTCAGCCAGGCAACAGGACAGCACAGCCAGGGCTGTGAGCACATCCCTTCCCCATCACTGCACCATCGCCTGCCTCAGTTCCCCCATCTGAGCACCAAACAGGGCTGTGCAAGATGGCTGACTGCACAGCATCGACTCCTGGTCTCACTGCTCAGCTCCCACGAAGCAAATAAACAGCTTTACTATAAATTAAGTTAAAACATTAAAGGCTGGATGTGACAAGACCACCTCCTCTGCCGCGGCAACAAAAGATGAAGTCAATTACCCCTCCATCTCCCTGTCCTCCCGCCACTTACGAGAAGGATCTGAATGCTTTTATCCCCAGGGTAATTTCTTCCCTTTAAATACTTCAGACTGCTCAGAGGGTTCTTTTATTACAGCTCAATCAGACAAGCAATTAGGCTACAATGCAACCTTTAATTGCCAATTTCTCAATGACAGGAGGTAAAAAGGAAAAAAAGAGAAAGAAAAAAAAAAGAGCTTAGAAAGAAAAATTTCCTTTTGCTTTGCTTTGCTTTGCTTTCCATCCCCCCCAGCGTGGCCATTTTCCCCCTCTTTGCCACTCTGGTGTTGCACTCCGCTCTGCAGAGGGGACAATATCCCCATGAGCCGTGAGTCGCAAACTGCCACGCATGGGGCTCTGCACAAACTGAAGGAGGAGAGCGGGGCTGGGAATGGCCCACCATGGAGCTGGGACCCCCAACCCGGGGCCCGCACCCACCTGAGCACGGGGAGGCAGAGCGGGGCCTGGATCCTAGCCAGGATCCCCAGGACTTTCTCCTTGCACTGCTGCTGGAACTCGCTGTCCCTTCTGCAGCTGCGTGCCTGGCTGGCAGCGACATCCTGCACCCTGCATGGAGATGAGGTGGGAGCAAGGGGTTAACGCGTTTTTCAGCAAAAGACAAAAAACCAGTTATGGATTACAGTAATTACAATGTACCGGCTGCCAAGCCTGGGCCGTACAATTAGCAGTGACAAGGGTGGAGGTGACAGGTGCCTGACGAGGCCGCGTCACCCAGCGCCGTGCGGCACAGAGCAGCCCCCGTGCGAGGACCCCTGGGGGTGGCAGTGAAGGGGAGCAGAGAGCCAACGCCACGCACCTCTTATTGCTGCAGACTCTCTCCAGGAGGTCCCTGGGGGTGTCGGTGAGCACTTTCCAGCTGCCCACAGCCAGGATGCAGCAGATCCGTCGCACCAGCCAGCCCCTGAACCTGGGTGAGACGAGCGGTGAGCACCGTGAGCGCCGCAGGGCGCCGGCACTGCCTCACCTCCCACACAGGCTCCTGGCGAGCGTTTGAGGCTCTGGTTCCCATCTTACAGCTGGGGAAACGTGCTGGGAACATGCTGGCGGCTTTAGGGTGCAAGGGAAGCTCTCCAGGCACCAGGCAGCCTCCCCAAAGCTGCTGCTGCCAGTGACAGCCCGCTCAGCACACAGCCCCTGCCAGCAGCAGCAATGCTCCATTCCAAGCTGGGACTTCCCCAAATGTGCCCCACATCCAGCTACACAAACACCACCAGGTCAGAGAGGGCTGAAACTGAGGCTTTGAGCTTTGCAGTGCACAGGAAGCTGGCGCGAGGCGCTCAGGCAGCGAAGCAGGGACTGATACCTGGGTCTGCTCTCGCTCTCAGCCTCCCATCTCCAGCCTCTCTTCAGCATCCCACAGTTCCTGAGGCACACTGAGCGGAGATGAATTATTCAGAGAGTTTGAAAGCTGGGAGCTGGGATATTTCAAGCAGAAGGGAGCGTCGTGACCCAATTTGGAAAAAAACACAGCGCAAAACTGCCAAACCACTAGGGACTGCTAGGAGAGGAACCACGGGAGTCCAGCACCTCCAAAACCAGATAACTGCACGAGAGCAGCCACACCAGCTCCTCGGCATCACAGCAGCTGAGCTCCAGCACTGGGCCGTGGGGAGGAGGACACACATGGGGGCTGGGAGCAAGCTGGCCCAGCATGCATGAAATCTTCCTTGCGCCGGAGTCCAAAGGGAGAACAAACCCCCCCCTGCTCCTTCTCAGGCTCTTCCCAAGAGCTTCAAGAGTCCAAGTGTTGATTTCAGAACTCACAAACCCTCGACACTGTGGCTGGCTGCCCTTTGAGGCCATAAGGGTGACAGCAGAGGAACAGACCAAGCCCTTTCCTCTCTGCTGTTATTAGCGCTCTGCTCTTGAAGATGTGCCTACAGTTCAGAAAATAATTAGCATGACTGCTTTCTGGACTAATTAGCGAGCAAGTGTGACAGAGAGGCACCCCCACGCTCCAGTGCCACAGGGTAACTTAATTCGGACGAAGAAAGAACAAAATTTGTAACGACTGCTCTGCCCAGCACTCCCAGCACAGGGCTCTGACCTCACCTGGTGTCCTCCTCCGTCACCCAGGTGGCACTGTGGAAGCCGAGGGAGGAGAGACGAGCGTGGTAGAAGCCATCCTGGGAGCAGAGCAAGGCGTTGGACTTGGCTTTGGCTGCGGGAGACAGCAGCCCTTGGCTGAACGTGGGCTCACCCAGCTCCTCGGGGTGCAGGCCTGGCAGCAGCGCCTCAGGAGCGGCCGGAACCAGCGCCGAGAGGGGATGAAAACTTCCACTCTTTGCCCCGACTCAGAGAACCAGGCCTTCATCTGAAAAAAGGCAGAAATGTAAGGGGAGGGACGGCACGAGACATCCTTCACCTGGAAATAATGACGTGAGGGTGAATGGTGTCCAAAATGCATTCCCACCGGGGAGAAGGGAAGCCCCGCTGCTGGGCTCACTGGGGAGAAACAAAGGTGCTGTTTGCTGGTGCCATCCCCCCAGGCTCACCAACGTGTTTGTGCCACCATCACTGCAGGAGTGCGGGGACCCAGACCCAGACAGGGGGCAGGACCAGCACCCCGGGGTGCTCACCGTGCGCTGGTAGCAGCTGGCCCTCACAGATGTGTCTGGCAAGGCCCGCAGAGCTCAGCTGAGGAGACAGGAACAGCGAGAGCTGGGAACACGGGGATGTGCGCCTCGTCCCCATCTCACAGCACAGAGAGCACAAGAGCAGCCAGGAGGCCTCTCCCCCAAATCTGGGATGGGAGGGCAGCAGGGTGGGACCCACAGGGCATAGGAAGGAGGTAGCTGAGCCCCTCTCCACTGCAGGCACCTGAAGGGAAGGGAGCTGCTCCTCGGTGGGGAGATGAGTTGTTCTCCTGCAGAGGGAGTGGAGGGGGAGAGAAAAAGCAGCCAATGCACCAAAAGCCCTCGGGAAAAGAATTTCTTCTTTGTAAGACAGCTCTGGCACAGCTGCAATTGACTTTTCCCTCCCACACTCTCCTCCCCCAGGCAAGTCGATGCCAATCTGCACCCAAAACCCCCACGGTCTCCCCGAGACGCAGAGATCCCCTCCATCCCTGGGAGGGTTGGGGGCACCCGGAGCGGCGTTGCTTTCCTCCGTGCCCAAACCCAGCCCCACAACAGCAGCCCCAAGGGAAGGGTCAGGCAGCAACAACCGCCCAGCATCCCACTGCTGGAAATCCCCAAACACGGAGAGACCCCCAAAAAACACGGCAGGAAAATAAACCACAGCAGCTGCTTGCTGCCAATGAGGTGCAAGGTGCCAGGAAGAGCAGGGCGACGGCCTGGGCTGCTCAATGCCCCACACAAACCCCTCTGGCAGAGCCGGCGCAGCCAGAGGGGCTGCAAACACTTCTTCCCCCGCTTCGCTTCAGAGCAGAGATTTTAAAGTCATTTCATTCCAGGAATCAGCACTCAGTGAGACTCCTGGCAGCTCGCTTGTAGAAAAACAACCTGTTTGTCAACTGCAGCACGGGGAAAACGGGAGAAACGGGGGAGAAAAGGAGAAGAGGGGCGGACGTCAGCGTGCGCTGGGGCACCGGGGGGACCCGCAGGGGAACCTGCCCGGGTTCGGACAGGGTGCACGGGGGCGCAGGGAAGCGGCCGGCCCGGCCTTGGGCCGTGAGGCCTCGCCTGCAGCCGCGCCGTGCCGGAGGGGCCCCGTGCCTCGCAGGTGGGGGAGAGGGGAAGGAAGCAGGCGGATGGGGTCGGGCCTGAGGTGGGGCTGCTGGCACGGGGCGCCCCGCGGGGCCTCGGGGGTTTCCCCAGCGCACCGGGCTCCTTCCCCTCCACGGGGATCCCGCGGGTTTGGAAGCTCACCCAAAGGGCTCTGGTTGGGGTCCCACCCCGCACGGATCCCTTCCAGGCCGCACGGACCCCGCAGGGCCACGTGGGAGGAAGCGGCCCCAGCGGAGCCCGAGGGTCCGCAGGGCCTGGGCAGGGGCCGCACGACGCGGGCCCCAGTCACACAGGCCCCAATCAATCACAAAGCCCCCATACGGAGAAACTGCGCCCCACACGTCCCGTGCGGCCCCACGCAGCCCCACCCCGGCCCCCGGCCCACCTCAGCACAGCCCGGCGCTACCGCCCCGCTCCGACCCCCGGCCATGCGGACCCCCGGGGCGGTGCGGGAGGCGGCGCTGGGGCGGGGGAGGGGGGGAAGGATGAGGAGGGAAAAAAGGCAGGAAAAAAAAAGTGAAGGGGCAGAGAATGGCGCTCCGTCGGCCGGGCCGGGCTCTGCGCTGCCCCCCTCTTCCTCTCTATTCTCCCTCTTTTTAGGCTCTCCCTCTCTTATTTTGTCCCTTTCCCCCCTTTTTACCCCTTTTCCCCCGTGCCCATCTCCATAGGACTGTGTCCAACCCCATAGGATCGTGCCCACCGCAATAGGATGAAGCCCAACCCCATGGGACCGTTCCCATCCCCATAGGATGCTGCCAACCCCACGAGACCACGTCCAACCCCACAGGGTCATGCCCATCCCCATAGGACTATTTCCCATCCCCGTAGGATGATGCCCAGCCCCATAAGATCATGCCCAGCTCTGTAGGCCCATTCCCATGCCCTATAGGATGCTGACAACCCCATAGGACTATTTGCATCCCATGTCAGCTGTGGGCAAACACAACTTCGTCCCCTGGAGCCCCACAGCCGCAGGCTGAGCTCCGGCTGCAGCTCATCGCACCCCACATCCCCCCTCAGGTCTTTTTTATGATCTTCCATCTTTGGGATTTGTTACAAAAATTGTTAAAAAAAAACATAAATGGGATTTGTTGAAATGAATTTTACATGGTCTCTCTTTGCAGCAAACCCAGCTTAGGGGGATTTCAGTTAGTCACCATGACAACCCGGTGCTGTTCTGGGGAAATTAGTGGGGAGAGGAGGGCTGCGAGCACCGGGGAGTGGGGAGGGGACAAAGTAAAGGGGCAGTGATGAGGCAGAGTGGGCACTGGCTCTGTGTGCAGGTCACAGGACGATGCCCAGCCCCATAGGACCATACCCAAGCCCTCAGGATAATGCCCAACCCCATAGAACCATGTCCAACCCCACTGAACAATGCCCAGCCCTACAGGGCCATTCCCATTCCCATGGGACCGTGCTCAACCCCATAGGACCATGCCCAGCCCAAAAGGACCATGGCCATCCCCAAAAGAGTTTGCCAACACGACAGGATCGTTCCCCTCCCCACAGGACCATTCCTAACCCCACAGGACCATGCCCATCCCCATTGTATGTGGCCAGCGCCATAGGACCATTCCCATCCCCAAACCCGTAGGACAATGCCCACCCCCACAGGATGTTTCCAACCCCACAAGACTATGCCTGACCCCATAGTACCACTCTCAGCCCTATAGAACTGCTCCCGACCCTATAGGATCTTTCCCACTCCACAGGGCTGTGCCCAGCCCCACAGCCCCCCACTGATACGGGATGTGGGGAGGCAAGGGGAGGGGCTGTGGGGACTGCTGGAAGGGGCCCAGCATCTCAGCATGCAGCGGCCACGGTCGCACGCCCTCTCCCATGCAGCCACCACCCCAGCACTGTCCCAGCACGCTGGGTTGGACTGACGGCCGAATTGGGATGGGGAGGGAAGTGTCCAAGCTGGGAAAAGCCTTCCCAAAGAGCTCAGCCTGGCTTTGGGGCGGCCAGAGGCCACGTCCCTGGTGGGACAGGGAGGCGGCGGAGGGCCAGCGCTGCTCTGCCACTGCAGGAGCAAGATGTCCCCAGCTCTGTCCCAGGGGGCTGAGCTCAGTGTACACGGCCCCACGTCCTCTGCTTGTCCCTGTCTCTGTGTGGGGGGACTGGGCTTGGTTCCCTGGAACACATGGGTCAGGGGTACTGTGCAGCATCATGAGGGGCCCCATAGACCAGGGGTGGTGTGGAGAACATAGGGCCCACAGAGCCCATAGGAACGTGGGGACATCACACCCCACGTGGGCTCCTTCCCCTCCTCAGGCCCACAGAGCCCTGGGGATTTGGGCTCCCACTGATGTGGGGCACAATGTGCCATCGTGAGTCCCAGTGCATCAGCGCAGGCTGTGACGTGGGGCCGCAATGCCCCACTGTGTGTCATGCTGCACCACAGCTGTTTGTCACACGCTGCTGTGGGTCACCACACACCACCGCCAGTCTCCACACGCTGCCACCATTCACCATGCACCACCATAAGTCAACCACGATCCACCAGTACGGGTCGTGGTGCGCTGCCAGACGATGGGTCACAGCACGCTATGGGGTGTCATACACCACCCTGAGCCACAACAGCGGGGTGTGGGTCACATCACACCAACAGAAACCGGCACCCCACTGGCACAGCTCACAAACACCCCCTGACCAGGGCTGTCTCAGACACCCGAGAATCCCCTCCCTATCAGTATGCCCAGCAGGGCTTTGTCCCCATCATGGTTTGGTGACCTCGGGGCCATGCCCCAGGGGAGGGAGTTATTCTCCGGGGGGGCTGCGGGGGGGGATGATGTTTTTCTAATCATTTTCCTGCCATAAATACCCGACCCTGTGCAAACATTCTGTTCCCACTCACGCCGCACGCATTCCTCCGTTCGCTGCCTGCGACCCACGGCTGCAGAAATGGCTCAGCCCCACGGCTGCCCCTGTCCCCACAGATTCCCTGCAGCGTGGAGAAGACAGTGAGATGGTTCCTCTGACTACAAAATACTTTTTATTGTTAAAAGGCGGCAGCCGCCGGGATGTGGGGCAGATGGGGAGAAGGGGGAAATCACCCCTGATTTCATGGGGGGCACAGCGTGTGAGGTGGGGAGAAACGCCGCCCCCCAAATGCAGCCCCCGTGCATCGCTGTTGGGATGGGAACACGTGGGGCTGCGTGTGCCCCAAACCTGCAGGACGGTGGGAAAGGGGAGGAGAAATAAGGGGGGGGGAAAGGGAGAAAGGGGAGGAAAAGGGGAAAAGGAGCAGTGGGCAGCGGGAGGGGCTGAGTGCCAGCGAGGGGCTGAGCCCCTCACCACGCCGTGCGGGCGCTGCGGCGGCAGAGGATGCGGCGGAAGGCCCTGCGGAAGTCGCGGTTGAAGGCGGTGTAGATGACGGGGTTGAGGGAGCTGTTGCAGTAGCCGATCCAGAAGAAGAACTGGAAGACGCCGTCGGGCACTTTGCAGCGCCGTGGGCAGACGGCACCCAGGCTGTAGAGGAAGAAGAAGGGGAACCAGCAGAGCACGAAGACGCCGATGACCACGGCCAACACGAAGGTGAAGCGCTTCTCCCGGTTCGCCTGCGCCTTCCTCCGCCACGGAGCCGGGCTCAGCGCCGGCGCCAGCACCACGCGCCTCGTCCCAGTGGCCACAGTGTCCCTGGGCCGCCCCGATGGCTGCGGGGAGCCTCCAGGCGCCGCTGCCGGCTCGCCGGAGCCCAGCAGCGAGGTCCTGTCTGCAGGCAGGGGCCGGGGGCCCGAGGCGTCCCCATGGGCGGCGGGGGCGGTTCTGGGGGGCCCGGGGCCGGCGTGGGGCTGGCGGCGGTGCCGGCGCCGGGCGATCAGGTAGATGCGCAGGTAGACGAGGATCATGATGAGGCATGGCGCGAAGAAGGAGCCGACGCTGGAGGAGAGGATGTACCAGGCCTCCTCGTTCAGCTTGCACTGCGGCCGGCCACCTGGAGCCGCCTTCTTCTCGCCCTTGTAGACCAGTGGCGGCAGCGAGATGGCGGCGGCGATGCTCCAGACGATGCCGATGCCGCACTTGACGCGGCGCGGCGTGCGCTTGGCGTTGTACTCCACGGCACGGCTGACGGACCAGTAGCGGTCCAGGCTGATGGCGCAGAGGTGGACGATGGAGGAGGTGCAGAAGAGCACGTCCAGCGCCAGGTAGATCTCGCACCACACCTTCTGGAAGTACCAGTAGCCCAGCAGCTCGTTGGCCAATGAGAAGGGGATGATGAGGACGGCCACCAGGATGTCGGCGGCCGCCAGAGACACCAGGAACAGGTTCTGGGGCGCCCGCAGCGAGCGGCTGGTCAGCACGGCCAGGATCACCAGGGTGTTGCCGGCGATGGTGAACAGCACCAGGAAGGTGATGGCGGCGGCGATGGCGGCTGCAGCCTGCACCGAGTAACCGCCCGCGGGGCTCGGCATGGCGAGGGAGGGTGGCCCGGCCGCGGGGACCGGCTGGTGGCACTCAGCATCCCTCGGGGGGACAGGGGACGGGGCGGGAGGACGGGGCGGAGGAGAGCTGGGGGACGGCGGTCCCGATGGGCATGGTGCTGCCGGGCTGCCTGCCTGCGCCCTAACCCAACCTATCCTACCCCTAACCCTGAACCCAAACCCTAACCCTAACCTTGCACCCTAACCGCAACCCAAACCCCGCGCCCCAACCCAAACCCCGCACCCCAGCCCCACACCCTTCCCGCGGGTCTCTGGATGTTTCCCCGTCCCCGCCCGCCGCTGCCGTTACCGGTGCCGGTGCCGCCGGGCTCTGTTCCTGCCGGCGCCGCCTCCCCGGGTTTTATTGGGGACGGGAGGGCTCTGAGCTGCTCCCGCCTCCGGGGCGGACCCGGGGACACGCGGAGGGACCGGGAGCTGCGAACGGCCCGGCGGCACTTCGGCACTGGCTGCGTGTCACCCCTCTGTGCCCCCCGTCCCCTTCTCACCGCCCCCAGGGCTGCCATCCTCACCCCAGGACCTCCATGACGCCCCATCCCTTTGCCAGCGCGTGTCCCCCTGAACCCCCCCCCCCGGCTCCCGTATCCCTTTGGGTACCCGAGCCACAATTCCCCACTGCCCTGAGCCCCCCCGGCCCCAGCCACCACTAGGGCTGCTGACCCCAAACCTGCGCTCACTCGTTTCTATCCCAGCCCCGGGGATGCTGCAGGGGCTGCCTCCAGCACAGCCCTAGGCTGAAATGTGGGCTGAGAAAGGGAGAAGGGAATGAGCCCCCTTCCCTGCTCCCTTCCCCCTCCCAGCCAGGGAAACCACCAGCAAGCCCACACCAAGAAGCCTCAGAACACCAAGGAGTGTTTGGTTTGGTTTGGTTTTATTTTCCTTTTAACAGCTTATTTTGGTACATCCATGCACAGCCACTCCCTGGAGGTGCTGAGGAGGGCTCCCCAAACAAGAAGCTGCTGCCCACCCCGACCTCAGCCACGGGTGCCATC